ATTCAGTAATTGTTTTGATTTTTTTTATACGGATTTTTGAATGAATGGATGGCAACCCAGTAGTTATTCAATGCAATTAAGACTAATTAACTATACTCGAAGTATTTGTTGACATTTTTATTATATATATGCAACTATACCCACGAGAGGCAATTTTAACAATACTCGACTATATAAAAAAGATCACCAAAAATTTTTATCTAAAATGTGGGGATCATCCTAATACCAACATCGCGGGTCTCGGACAGTTTACGAGGGACATAATTTGGTATGGCAATCACGCTATGCCAAACTATATACTGATCGACCCATAGCGACAAATGATACTTGGCTCGACACAGATTTTCCTACAAAGTGAATAAATATTTTATTTTGTTTTTCTTTTTTATTTTTGTAATTAATTATTATTATAAATATTGCTTTGTAGTTTTTTGTAAGGAAAAGTTTTCTTTCCTCTTTTTTGCCACACAATTTGTCACACATCTCGCTGTATTCACAATCAATACTCACTGTATATATTAAAATCAATTATGTTGTATAAAGTACCCAAGGGTAGAAAAATATGTGTTAAAAATAACAATGCAAAATGTATGCTCAATTATTGCAATAAATACTTTTGTCTGTCTGTCTGAGAGGCGATTTTCACTTGAGTCTATATTTGAGTTCTATAACCTTAAGTGGAAATTTGACATCAAAGTTGCCTGATGTCGGACTTTGGCGGCAGAAAATGCAATTCTATTATAATATTTGGTTGAAGAAATGTATCAGTCTTTTACCCAGCCTCATTGTCAGTGATCCGCGTCCGACATGTTATCGTACGTCTCTGTCCCCGGAGCCCTCGGTGCCCGACGCATGCAGACTTTGCGGCAGATATCAGTATCACACAGTGCGGGATATAGTGTGTAACATTGCGTACAGAGAAGAAAGATTGAACGGACCACCCACGAAGAGCGCGGTCGAAACTCCGTCGTAAAACACGCTCAGACGTTTAATGGGTTATTATATTACCATAAACACATCAGCTAAACGAATCCACATACAAATGAGAAGAGAACAACGACACAAACACACGTATCATATCATATGAGTATGTATTGTGGTGTGCAATTAATGCTAAGCATTCGTTTGTTTGGGACTTGCATGCATTCTTTTATAACTTTAAGTTAATCTTTCAGGCGATAGCATTCAATGAATGAGATGCGTTCCTTCCAAAAAAATCGCACTGGAATCATGCACCAAACTAGAGATGGGTAACTCACTCCGGAGTTATCACTCCGATACAACTCCTTCCTCGGAGTGAATCCGAGTGGAGTTGTCTCGTCGGATTTGTCATATCCGACTTCCCTAAACTGGTACTAAATCTGTTACTGCGTTTTTGCTTTGGGAAGGAGGCTGTCGCTTTCTCATCTCACAGGCAGTTTTATGACCTTTTAGGTATACGGTTTTTTCCAGAAAATACAAAAATATTACTTCAAAGATACAGAACAATGAAATTGTGTTCAAGTGTGAATAGCTCCAATGCATAATTTATTGAATAGTAACGGGTCATATTTCTAACTACGACAATCTTTGGCCGTGAATGACGGCAATCAGGAATATACATACCGAAAAACACACGAAACAAAATACATTTAATCTGGTTTTTCATAGCCTGAAATAACAATACTTTAGAGTGCAAAATATATCAGTGACGTCAGTAGTATTTAAGCAGCAAAAAATATATAGTATTAAATTTTTACTTTTACACAATTATATAATTGTCTAAAAGTAATAATATGCTAATCAAACTACCCGATATAATATTCATTCTCGAATGGAAATAGCAGAAGAAAAAAGTAGAAAGCAAAAGTATTATTATTTGGTGAAAATATTTTATGATAAATGTTTTGCTTTTATTACAAAGTTTACTACATTATTTTTATATAAAATTAATCCAAAAATTCAATTATTTTCTCATCAAAAGAAAATAATAAAATTGAATTTGATTCTCAAGTTTTGCGTTTTTACTTTGGTCAACACTGTTAAAGTTACGAGTCATTGAGTCGATCATGTGTTCGACCGAAAAGTTTCACAACTCGCCATTTATTTGTGAATTTTTTAGAAAAATTATTTTATTGATATTTTTTTTATTTTATTTTATTCATAAATTTTTATTTAAAAAAATTGAATGGGATTTGACAAATCCTTAGATGCATGAGCAACGCACTATGGAACACATTTGTGTCGAGTATTTCGGTTTCAAAGTTGTCGTGGAGTTGTTAAGCGGATATAACTCCTCCTTGAAGCGGAGTCAAATCCGAGTCGATCCGGCTTCGGATATGATAAGCCCATCTCTACACCAAACCAAAATTATATACCCAAGAGGTCAGAACTTCAGACTTTGTAAGGTAAACCGTAAAGACACTTTGAAAATGATAAATGTACTAGAGATGGGCTGCGGAGTTATCATTCAGATACAACTCTTCGCTCGAAGTGAATCCAAGCGGAGTGGTATCTGAAATTTTGTCATATCCGAATTTCCTAAACTTATACTAAATCTGTCAACACGTACAGACACTTACATGAGATTTTTTACTAATACAAAGATTTGCGTCGAAGGAAGCAGTCGCTTTCTCGTCTCGCAGGCTATTTTATAACTTTCTATGCATAAAATGTCCTAAAATATTGCAATTTTGAATTCTATATTATTTAATATACAGTATGTAGGTATGCTATGCCATAAACACACGTATCATATCATATGAGTATGTATTGTATTGTGCAATTAATGCTAAGCATTCGTTTGTTTGGGACTTGCATGCATTCTTTTATAACTTTAAGTTAATCTTTCAGGCGATAGCATTCAATGAATGAGATGCGTTCCTTCCAAAAAAATCGCACTGGAATCATGCACCAAACCAAAATTATGTACCTAATGAGGTCTGAACTTCAGACTTTGTAAGGTAAACCGTGAAGACACTTTGAAAATGATAAATATACTAGAGATGGGTAACTCGCTCAGGAGTTATCATTCAGATACAACTCCTCTCTCGGAGTGAATCCGAGCGGAGTGGTATCGGAGATTTAGTCATATCCGACTTTCCTGAACTTATACTAAATCTGTTAACACGTACAGACACTTACATGAGATTTTTTACTAATACAAAGATTTGCGTCGAAAGAAGCAGTCGCTTTCTCGTCTCACAGACTATTTTATGACTATGCATAAAATGTCTCAATTTATTGCAATTTTATATTCTATATTATTCAATATACAGTATGTAGGTATGCTATGCTTTCGATTGATTGCATCTTCAGTTAATTCCACCGATACCTTCATAAAGAGTTCTATTAGTTAAATTGCCAAAAATACTTATATTCATATATTTTATGGGTCAATTCTGTAAAATAGACCAATGTTATAACAAGGCTATGTTACGTAGCGTTTTTCTTATAAAATAGTACTAAAAACTGTCAAATTGCTATGTATTTGCTGTGCAGTCAGGCGATTTACACATAAAATGTAACTTCACTCGTATGTTATTGCAAAGATGCACTTTTAATACAAAATTTCTCTTGACGTTTTCTAGGTAATGAATTTTACTCTTCACCCTGCTTTCAGATAGTGAATGCTTTTCACTTAATTTTAATTCAGATTTTCTTGAGCTCAAATTTACTTAGACAAAATGATTAGGATTTGTCCAACCTTAATATTTTTTTGAATTTTTCCTAAATTATTGAATTTTTCTTGAGTAATTGAAAAATACACAAAACTAAATTTTCGCTCTCCTTCTAATAACCCATATTTTGTAATAGGCATTTCAGTAACTCAATCATTTTTCATCGAAGAGACTTTTCATCGAATTTCTAATCAGATTTTAAATAAATATGAGTTAAAAAAAGTTTTGTGGATAGAAGCACAAAACTTTTTTTGAACTTTAGTAATTTTGTTTGCTACTTTAGCACTTTTCTAGAAATACTTTACATGGGTCAGCTAGTATATATACTAGCAAACGTTATATATATATATATATATATATATATATAATAATGATATACATAATAAAATAATATACATAATGTAATCCAAAGAATTTGAAATAATTTACCTGGAAATACGCCATGACTTACTGCAATTTTAGCCCAAAATTATATACTTTTATTACTTATTTTTCACATCAAAAATCAGTTATAATTGAATCTTCCAAATAAACTTCAAACTTAATGTAATAATAATAGGTGCTCTCAGATCAGGAAAGTATACCTATTAATAAACATGAACATGAATATATTATAACATATAAATAAGTAATATATAAATATATAAATAAATAGATATATATATATATATATATATATATATATATATATATATATACATGGTCGTAGTCAAAGGGCACCTAGGTACCAACATTTTGTGTACGCCTAAGTATATATACATATTTATACATTCCTTGTATTTTACACATACAAATATAACATTTGCAATTTTTGTATATGCATATTTATTTGCCTCTTATTTAATAAATTCTATAGTAGGTTCTTATTTTGCATATTTGATTCTTATAGGAATAACACTTGACAAATAAACCACATAAGAATCTTGTGTGAATCTTATGTTAAATCAGGAGTGTGAAATAGATTGAATGACAATTGCAAAATATAATATAATAATTTTTATATTCACAAAATTAATAAATGTAGTAAATAACCTTCAAAATAAATGCACTATTATTATGCTAAAGTCACCAAAACAAGTAGCGTTCTCTCTACAGCATTAAATTCTATACTCATATTTTATCAACAGTTGGCGCTAACAGTTTGTATTTAAAATTACTTTTAAAATTAAATTATTAAATTATTTGTATATTTATTATTATTTTAGTTAAGAATCATAAAATTTGAATCCATCGCATGTTTTTTTATATTTTTATTGTTATATTTTTCATTTATTATAAAAATTTCCTAACGGTCTATTACATAACGCACCACATTCCTAACGTATATAAACCCAGCAAAATGCAGGACGTTTTGCATTTGGAGCAACTCGGTTGTTGGCGCACTACATAATAATATATTAAAGGCAGAAATCTCTTAAGAAATCAACTATGCCACCCAAAAAAGCATGTGGAACTGTGGCCAAATCGAAGTGCGCCGGGGGCTCGTGCAGTCTATTAAAGCTGAAGACGAAATCAAGGAATTACAGGTATTAACATACTTTTTTAATTTGTTTACTGGCATCCAATAGTTCCTATTCACACAAACTATAATTTAGCGTTGAAATTGTTTAAAACATTTTGAAAATGTTTTATTTTTATATTACAGTAACAGTTCGTGCGATTCCCCTAAACCAAAAAAGAAAACTTCTGTAGCAACAAACCGTGCAGCCTCAAAAACCAGCGCCAAAGCAGTGAAGACACCCATGAAGAGGCAAACAAATACCAAAAAATCTATATTGAAGGCATGCCCTTTGCAAAAACGATATGGGACTCTGAAAAATGAGTAAGTAATTTAAATTTTATTGCTAAAAACAAATTTTATGAATTTTCTGTATTTTCAGGTGTTCTTCAAGTTCATCGGAATCCTCCTCGTACTCGGATTCCTATGATTCTTATGATTCTTACGATTCTTCATACAGTGATGATTCTCCTGTTATCAAGCGAGGTGCTAAGTCTGCTTGTTCAGGCTCTAAATGCTCAAAGCCTGCAGCAAAACCAAAGCCTAAGGCTAAACCTAAATCAAGTTCCTCGAAACGTGGCTGTGGCTGCGGATGTTAATTTGATGATTTTAATGTTTTAAGCTAATGTTGATCATTTTATAAAATTATTTTAATACTTCTATAATATTTATTTTAATGTAGTGATTTTTCAATAAAAATAATGTTTCGATAACAGTGTCTTAAAAATAATATTTTTAAACTTCAAGTTCGAAAATATTCACAAATCAATCTTCATATTAAAAACAAATCAATTTGAGTTTATCATAAAGTTAAATTTCCTTTGATTCTTTACCCAATATAACCTTTGTTACATTCCTATTAAATTAAACTTTACTTCAATTTATGGGTATTAACACTGCAGTAAACACCTTTTCACTCTTCAAAAAAAAAATACACCTTCAATACATACTGAACATAATCCTCAATGTTTGCTTTTTGACTAATGCTCTTAAAGGATCCTTTAAGTATTACATAAGCAGATTTACTACAATTATTTACCCCCCCCCTCCCCTTTGTCAGCAAAAGTTCTTACCCAAAATAAGCAAAATAAGCAAATCAATAACCCCCCCGCCCCCCTATAGTGCTTACGTAATACTTGAACGGCCCCTAAGTCATTATAATCAATGTTCAAATGCACATAAAACCGTACATTTCTATTAGCATATAAATTTTCTTCGCAACATACAATCATTTTCTATGCAGCGCTAATGTGTGAAGTTTTTACATTTAAGTGTGGTTGTCACATATAATCATCATTGTTTTTGCAGAAACATTGTAAATACATTAATCTAAATACTGCTTATGTATTAAAATAAAAAAATATAGAATTTACAAACGTTTTATTTAAAAAATATCTGATCTTGACTATTTTCATACCAATTATGCTAAATAAACTCAAATTTATATAAACGAAAACAGTCATGAGATTCAGCAATTGCTTAATACAAGAAAATCTATGAATAAAACTAATTACATAAACCAAATTATACTTGGTTGAATATTAATAATATTTACTCTTGAATGCGATAGTAACATTACAAATCAATCGCCTGGACCCATCATTATAACATATGAACTTCAATGCTTAAATTTTGAAATACACAAACTTCCTCATTTACTATTTATGCATTTATAATAACAAATATACATATAACAAGATAGATCAAACTTGAGCAAAATAAGAAATATATTAATAGTTATAATACAAATGTGAATATATATATATCCCAATGTGACAGGATTTTCATTTAAAGCATTCAGATATGAATTTAAATACATCCATACATTTAATATCAGTACATGTATGTATACATATTTCATCATATATCAGTGTTGGATACTTAATATAACTAAAGTGATGTCATTAAAATTATGTGTTTCTAATTTTACCCGGGACGTAATTTTTATCTATTGTAGTATCTTGTAGAAACATATGCAAGCAACGTTCATTTTGAGCAAGTGGGTGACCAGCAATCTTGTTCACAAATATTTCTAATCCCTTTCTGCGGTCTTCAATAAATTCTTCTTCAAAAATACCATCATCTCCTCGAAAAGGCATTTGCCTTTTCCAAGCCTTGCCAGGTAGTGGTGGTACAACAATCTTAAATAAAAGATATATATTTAACAATAAATTTGTATCATGAAAAGCTGATTAGTAACTTGTATGGGACATATATACATACTTTACTGTCGCGTTCCAATTCATTGCGAAGCCATTCAAAATCACTGTAGCGCCTGCGTACACTTGAATCCTTCACTTTAAAAACTGGCAAATTGGTCTAAAAATTAAAATGATTGTCATAAAGTAAAATATATAAATGGAACTTAGTGAAGTGCTAAGTTTTGTCTATACAACTAACTCATAAAATAGCTTTATAATATAATAGCTAATCATCTGTATGGCCATGACTATATCATTTGATGAGCATGCAAGGACTTCAAAATTATGAAATAAAAAGTATTATTAAAGCTGACTGTCACACTGACTACCCATTTATGTTAAATTTCACTACAATAAAACCTGTAAACATTGAATTGCAGAAAAAACGGTTTGTAAACGATATTTCAACTGGAAAAAAGAAATTTTGAACAATCATGAATGTTTTAGAAGCGTTTCAAGGTTATCGTTCTGATAAGCCACTCACGCATTGCTTTCACGATAAACTTTTTAAATAATTATTAAATTAATGAATGAGTCAGAAAAGAACAATGACATGTCTGCTATTGTTGATTTTGACATATCGCACGTACATAATGTACATGTAACCAAGTCCATATTATTTTTAAGGTTATCAAAATAGCCCATAATACTTAGAAACAAGCATTTTAATCAATTGCCACTCACCTTCATTCGAACTTCGTAATCTGTGTATCTTTTCTTTCCGACTCCCATTGACGTTACAGGATTAACAACGTCTATTTCTAGAAAGTTTGCGGGCGCCGCATAAGCATCGTCTAATGTTTGTTTTTTGACATTTAATCTTCTTGTTGCATCGGTGCTCGTATCTGATTCTGCCATCATTTCTGCACAATTGCACAGCGCGACAATAAAAATATAACTATTAAACGAAATAAAGATAACACCGATTTTGTACGCCCCTAATAGTGATGGGAATTGACAGCCGATTACCACTGAAGTCAATTGGAAGTTGGACGAAACATCGACATGTTGTTGAACATAACAACTCAAAAATCTTTAACTACGTTTTGGCCGAATCGCCGATCATAGCCAACATAAGAATGCAAAGATTCCCTAAAGGCGCGAAAATATTGAATGTACATATATATAAATTAACTATTAATGAAATAATAATTATAATAAAATATAATAAATATATATAATATTTATAAAATATATAAATAATATATTATATGGAAGCACTCTTTTTCACTTAGATGGGGTGACTTTGATCTTTATACTTCATTATTAAGCAATAATTAGAAAATTCAGGATTTTTTTTTGGTTTTTATCAAATAACTCACAAATTTTATATGAAAGCACCCTTTTCAGAAGTAAAACTGGATAAAATTTATTACAATTCCTTGCCAACAGTTATATACACTCCGATATAAAAGTTTTGAATAAAACGACTTTGAATTTGATACTTCATTATTTAGCAATAAATAAAAAACTCGAGACATTTTTTTTGTTTTTGTCAAATAACTCACAAATTTTATATGAAAGCACCCTTCTTCAGTTAGATGGGGTGAAACTAAATAAAATTTACTACATTTCTGTGGAAACAGTTATATACACTCCGATATAAAAGTTTTGAATAAAACGACTTTGAATTTGATATTTTATTATTTAGCAATAAATAGAAAATATATTTATTATAATATTATATATATATATATATATATATATATATATATATATATTTATATTTATATATTTTATATATTATATTTATTTTAATATAATAATAAATAGTTTTGTTGCAAATTGTTGGATCAGCTTTATATATTGGAAATTGTTGTAGCCATATTATGTATTGCCTAAAAGTTTACATCAATTTGAACCACTCTTCATAAGCCTCTAATATTTTTCAGTTTGGGCACTGAATCCATAATCATACCAAGTTTGATCAAAAGCAACCAGATGGGTTTTTATGGGTAGTTAAATTAAATTAACAAACAAAGGTATAATACATTAATGTTCAAAACCCACATAAAAACTTTTAAATGAAACAAATAGTTTTAATGAGGAAGATACTCCTCCCACAATTGATAATCTTCGATTATAATCAAAAAGTAATGCATTATATATAATACAAATAGCCATAAACTAGTAGTTTATGGCATCGTGCCTTAAGGCAAATTGCTGGAACTGGAATTGCAATAGGAATTGAACCATTCAAATCGGTTGATCCTAGCGTCCGAAAACGTGTACAAAAAAATGCGGACACACAAAACACATGCGCACACACAATTTTTTCTGAGTTATGCCAAAATGTTCAGAAACCTCAAACACGGATATGCAAAAATTTTCATTTTCTATTTTCAGCTTATTACTATAACTTACCCTATGGGAAGTTAATAATTTTACGAGTTGTACTTAAAAACTGTTATTGACTTGTTATGAAACTAATTTTATACTATTACTAAACTCAGATGCAAATAACATGCAGCTATACAATGCAATAAGAACTCCTTTGCATCATATACTTTACGTGGTAAATATGATGTTAATTATTGAATTAAGTTTAAAACCAATAAATGTTTTCTCAGTTTTGCCTCTGGTCAGCCATTTTAACTTTTTCCCAGAGCTGAGCTTGTGTTACAAAAAATTATGTTCAATGACTACTAATAAAAAAAAATATACACAAATGCACTAATTAAAAAAAAAAAAAAAACACATTATATAATATGAAGGAAAATAAAATACATTTATTTCCACATCTCAATTAACATTGCAATTTACAATTTAAGGTACAAAATATTAAAATAAAAATTGAACTTTAAAAACATTTCTTTTTTGAAACCACTTTCAAAAGTGGCCTGGAATTGCGTGAAGTTCGATATATAAATATAATACATGCACTCATTTTTACAATTTAAATAGTTGTATCAATATACAAATTAAAAATAATTTATGTATTGCATTTTATTTGCAACTAACTTAACGGCGTCCACTCTCAATTTGTGTCCATATTTGTTCTAGTTGCTTTTTAGCTTCACAATGGGGGAAATTATTTAAGTCATAATATTGGGGTGCAATTTTCAGAAGCCACTCAGCTGAAGAAAAAAATGGTTTAATAATAACAGTTTTTGATCAAGAATGTAAAATAGAACTTACGTTTGATATCTGTTACAGCCCTTATGTAGTTTTTAGTAGTAAGTACAAATTCATTATAAATAACCCATTCTGGTTTATGATCCAAACATGTACTGGGATGTAACTGCACAATTTGATTATCTTTAATAGTTAAATAATGACCAGTCCTTTCCAAGTGGGCCACCTAAAACAATTATTGTATGATTAATATTCTTTCAAAATATAAACATATAATACATAAACAGTAGAAACTCGTTTATCCGGCCCTCAACCAAATATTTTAAACCAAATTAAACTTATTACCTACTTATTTAATAATTACCAAATGCAAATTATCAAATTTATATATACGAACCTAAATATTTTATTTCATGATTCAGCAATGTAGTATTATTATGTATGTAATGTAATCTAAGAAAAGATGTATGTACATACATAAGTGTCAATTTCGTAATAACATTATTCTTTAAACATTCGATTATCCGAATTTTTGCTTAACCGAATGTCTTTAGACAACAATTAGTTTAAGACAACAGTTAGTCCAGTTAATCCAGTTTCGATTGAATATATATATATATATATATATATATATATATATATATATTTTAATTCAATTTATTAGTTATATAAAACTAATGAGCAGAAATTGTTAATATTAAAATGGTGTAACATAATTTGATTATAATAGATACTAAGGAGTATAATAGAAAACGAAAACAAAACTAATACAGAAGTAAAAAAAGGAAAAATAATATAAAAGTTACTAAAAAGAACTACTACAAACATTTTTTAACCATAAAAATTTTCAGTACCTGCATGAAGAATCCATTAACTAATGCTTTGCGAATGTTAATATAATAATCCTTGGAATTGAAATCGGTGCTCGTCCTCTTCAAGTCAAACCGGTCCATGATACGAGACAATTGGGAACGAACATTATCACCAGACTTAAGGGATCGATAATTTACATAATTATCATAACACCATTGAGGTTCTTCCATATCTAAATTTAATGATAGTTATAGTATATCTGCCTGAATTATTTTATATTGATCACACAACCTTGTTCTGTTTTATTTCACTTAAGAGATTACACACGTCATGAAGATCAGAAAAACAGTAAAGCAAAAACAAGCATCTATTTAATCTCAAAAATGACATTGAAGTAAATTAAATTTATTTCTTTTATATTGTGTAAGTAACATAATTTGGTAAATATTGCTCAATTGTGTAATCTCTTACCAGAACATTTACAAAAACTTACTTTGTTTGAACGCGTGGTAGACATTCAGCAGCGTTAAGTGGTCCCCATCGATATGCGCAAACCTCATCTTAGCCTCATCAGCAGCTTTCTTAGTCTCGTTGGGCCGGACAAAACACTGCGGGACTAAATTTAGGGCGGGGGCCCATCCGCTCACTTAAGCAACACTCACTCAAGATCATCAACCTAAGGAGCTGGGCTCACTTTATTATAATATCAACACAAATCGAAGCCCGACCACTTATCGTCAATGCCAGAGATCTTAATATGTGAATTTTTAATATCACTCCCGTACATAATTTATGATGAATCCAAAATAATTGACGATTTTAAAAAAAATTAGGTATTGAATTGACAACAAAACAATTTCTAAAAACCATAAGTGTAAGAAAATTTAATAGTGTTCAGCAAAATTTTGAGTCTGCTATTTAGTTTGCTGTTTTAGCTTGAATCTTGTAAAAATAAGAAAACCAATGTTTTATTCATCAACAATTATGATTATAAAAATTTGAACGAAATCTATAATAGAATTCCATTTGGACAGAATTCATAATAGAAATTATTTTCTTGTCAACTCAATTGTGTTGATATTATATCAGTTAAATTTATTTCATTTAAGTTGAACAGTTTTCATGTATCAGTGTTTTTGTTCAATTCAAAAATAAATAAATAAATCACATGAAAACTATTCAACGAATTAAAAACTAGATCAAAGAAAATTCTTATAAGAAAATTGACTGTTCCTTAGCTATTTTATTACCTGACAGCATAGCCGTAATGGATAATATTTCATTAGAACAATTATGGTTACATGAGGCAATCAACATTTTTCCTAGTTGGGGATCAAGAGGGAATTCAGCCATCACTGCTCCTAGATCTGTAAGATTACCATCATCATCTAGTGCAGCCAAGTAATTAAGTAATTCAAGTGCTCTCATCAATGTTTCAGGAGCAGGAGGATCCATGAAATCAAAATGCACAAGATCATCTATGCCTGCAAAGAGTTTGATTTTAATTCATGTTGGAACATGCTACTTCACAATAACTTGATTATTGATATAATTAAAACAAAAACAATGTAATACTGACCCAATTTTTTTAATTGAAGAACCACAGACCCCAAATTTGAACGTAAGATCTCAGGATATGTGTTATCTTGCATTTCATTCTTGAATGCCTTTTCAGTATAGAGCCTAAAGCATTTCCCAGGACGAGTTCTACCAGCTCTTCCAGCCCGCTGTTGTGCAGAAGCTTTACTAATCGGTGAGACCAACAATGACTCAACCCGAATTCTAGGATTATATACTTTTTGTTTAGCAAATCCTGGATCTATCACAAAAACTACACCATCTATTGTTAATGAAGTTTCTGCTATGTTTGTTGAAACAACAACTTTCCTTCCAATGGCACCATTTGCCTTGTTTGGAGGTGCAGCCTCAAAGATTCTTTGTTGTAAATTTGGTGGTAATGTGGAGTATAATGGGATACATTTTAAATCACCCACATCTGGACCTAGATTATCTATTTCTTGTTTAATTCTCTTGCAAGCTTCTTCAATTTCTTCTTGCCCGGTTAAAAATAATAATATATCTCCAGCAATTTCTTCGCACATGTGAATCTAAAATTTAATAATATAGTCAGAACATTGGATAAAAATTTCTTTCAGTCTATATGAAGACTATGTTAACACATACTTGAATGACTGTCCTTATAGCAGCCTCTAAATAATCTCTTTCTGGTTCTGGAGTATAAAAAATCTCTACTGGATGTGTTCGGCCTGGTACATTCATAAGTGGAGCATTATCAAAATATTGTTGAAACTTTCCAGCATCTAATGTAGCAGACATAATAACTAATTTCAAATCACTACGTTGTTTAACCTAAAACATATGATACATAAATATACTATTTGGGCAACTTAACAAACATAACCTTTAGCATAAACTCCATGAGAGTCATACCACTTCTTTCAGGACTCCCATCAAGATGTCTGTTGCAAGTGTACGTTCATGAGCTTCGTCTAATAATATTACCTGGTATGACTCCAACATAGGTTCACTCATACCTTCTCGAAGTAACATACCATCAGTCATGTATCTACATCAAAACATCAAGAATTAAAATATATCATAAGTCAATAATTATTAATATAACAACATACTTCAATACAGTTTTAGCTGAAGAGCAATCCTCAAATCGAATACTATATCCAACTTCTTGACCAAGAACAACATCCATTTCTTCTGAAACACGTTGAGCAACAGACATAGCTGCTACTCTACGAGGTTGTGTGCACGCAACACCTTTATTCCCACACATTCGTGAATAGTCAACGCACCTAAACATGATTACATGAATGTAGTAGTAGTCACTAATGCAAAATTATGTCTTTTTTAATGTTAACTTACCATTGAGGAATTTGTGTAGTTTTTCCAGACCCTGTTTCACCAACTAAGACAATGCATTTGTTCTCATTCAGTAGCTTCATGAACTGAGCTTGGTATTCAAAAACAGGTAATTGAATACGTTTTTTATATAATTCGTGAAAACGATGTGAATATGGAAGATTGTTTAGTGGATTCATTTTATTAGTTGAAGTGTTTGCTGGCACTTCAGTATACACGGACGTAGGCATGCCCTTCTCTTCCCTGCAAAAGATAAATATTCATATAAACACATGTACACAAGTTTCCAAACATAAATATTTGAACACAGGGTGTCCATTTAAATGTTTTTCTTCAATTTTGTAGATACTAAATAAATGTAAGTAAATCCAAACCGGTGATGGTTTGCTCATCGTGGTTACCTCAATCTCTTCAAAAAAGGATCAGTAATAATTTCTATTCTCCGTTTAGCCATTGCTTTTGTCTAACGAAAACACAATTTTTTTATAACTATATAGAGCACTAATGTCTGTCATAGACTGTGTAAAAGAAACGAAAACAAACTATTTTCAGAAACAGAAAATGGAACTGCAATGCAGACTGCAAAGATGGCGGCAGTTCGGGTAATGTTGCCATAGTCAATTGTTTTTCCTGACAGCATGCAAGACTCAAGACTCGTTATTTACTAATGAGATTAATTTTATTAACGTTGGCAATACCTTTTAAAGGATTCAATTTTTGTAAATAAAACACACACAGACGGACATTCGCACAAGCGCAGGATTCTAGAATATTTTCACAGTTGAACAGATTTCTAACTTGCAAATTAAATTGAATGGAAATAATATTGATGTCTTCCCTTATTTAATATTGAAGTATAAACAAGAACATTATTACACAAATAATTACAAAGAATATTTAAAACGTTGGTTTTTTCTTTTTATTTTATTTTATTTGGTTTTTATATAAATAATTAAATATGTATATATATATATATATATATATATATAATATCTTTATTTATTTACTATCGACGTTTCGAAACTAGGTACGTTCCATCTTCAGGACATCTGGTGTCAAAAAACATGATCTTGATAAGATTTAAGCAAACAATATGTTTAAGAAAAGCAGAAGATGATGGATTTTTTTATATAAAATTAATAAAATTGTGAAACAAATGTACAGAAACATGGCAATATAACCAAAATAAAATTGATAAAAATGAATGAGTGGATTATATAATAAAATATTAAAAATGTTAAAAAATTATAAAGTTTTAGAAAATGTTAAGAAAAGGTTACTGAAAAAACAGAATTATTTACCTGTATGATTAATTATACACTAACACTTTTTCACTAAAAAAGATTTTATCAAAAAAAAGTGATTTTATAAATTTATTTTCAGACGAAGAAACAAATTTTGTAATTCAAAATTTTTTTAAATTATGTCTTTTTTGAGTTTGTTATGTTAGACAAAAAGTATTATTCCCTCGATGTTATGAGATGACTATTGGTAACAAACTGATTATTATATGTAAATATATGTATATGCATTTTACGGAGTTTTGGGAATATTTGGAAATATTTATTAATTTTGTTTTTTCTTAATTCCTACTTTTAAAAAAATCTTTAGCAACAATTTTCTCTATATAATCCATTCATTTATTGTTATTTTTAACTTCCCGTAGGATAATTAACTTCCCGTAAGGTAATTTATAGTAATGGGCCGAAAATCGATAAAAAAATGTTTGCATATCTTTACGTTTCAGAGGTTTTTGAACATTTTGGCATACCTCAAAAAAATGGATGTGTGCGTACGTGTGGAGACAATTTTTCGTTGAAGATTTCGGGCGTATGGAAGAACCGATTAAAAAAAAAACAATCGATTCCTATTGATAGGGAAATGTGCTGATTAGTTTTTGGCAAAAGCAGGTCCAGTCGTTACGGAGATACGGAGCAAATGGTGCAGAAAATAGAAATCGAATTTTTGAGAGAACGAAGTATGCGATTTGAATTATACAAAAAACATCCTGCTTGTGTTGCCAAAACAATTGTTTTTTGAAAAAAAAAATTTTTTTTCATTTTTTTTATTTTTTTGTATATCGAAAATAATTTAGAAATTAATTTTAATTCTGGCTAAAGTTCTAAAGCTTACTTATATACTTTAAATAAATAAATTTTACTTTTTAATTCAGTTTATATAATTCTTATAAATATTAGAAAATTATTTATTAGTATAAAGGGTTGTTTACCCACCCCTTTTCATTGTGCAAATATTTTCCGATGTGCACAAACAGTACAAAGTTTACAAATGGTTTACATAAAGAGCAACTTTCACAAAAAAGTAGATATATTGAATATTAAGATTAGAAGAAACAACTAGGATACAACTAGGATTTTGATAAGTAACTAGGTGCCATACAAATCTATGGTAAAGCTGTAAAATTTTCCACTCTCTAATTATTTTTCTATTTCAGCCTATTTGCTGGACATGCCAAATAACAATATAATTTAAAAATAAATTATAGGATTTTGCTTCGCAATTTAAAAAATCATGAAATAATAAAAAGTGTAGTAATATTATATTAAAACCTTGAAACTTTAAATGTGCCTATTCAATTTAAATAGAATCAGTTTTAGATTAGGTTGCCTCTCAGAATTTTTTATATGTGGCGAGCTTTGCAGTGAGTAAACTATTCATATATTTTTTATTAGCTGCCCCTTCCACTTATATAGCACATCAATCAGATAGTTATTTATATACTAAACATTTCATACTAGAAATATTTTTTATGGCAAAACAACGTATGCGTGTGTGTGTTTGTATATATGTATATATATATATATATATATATATATATATATATATATATTTACAAAAGCGTTTGATACTAAAAGCTCTACAGAAGTTATTTTAGTTAAAATAATGATTCATTGATTGTGATTTCAGTGACCTTTTAATTTAATCAATAAATTTATACGACTTTATATTGTTCATGTGTGGAATATGTACCCGCCCTTCTTGTTTTCCAAAAGTTCGGTTGACGAATAAGCATGTCATACATGAATGAAATGTTGCATATTGATTTCTGGTTTAAAATGTAAAGACAACCGAGAGCATAATCAATAACGAAAAAAACATTGATCATTAATTTGATTATTTTTTATATATATATATATATATATATATATATACACATATATATAGTGTGTGTGGTAGTGAGTATCTACATGCTTACTAACAAATAGTATTTATGTTTTATGAACTATACGATTGCTACTGTAAAGGAGTTATGTTTTGAAATCATATTTTTAGACTTCAAATAACTATATACACAGCTTCACGCACACACACACACACACACATATATATATATATATATATATATATATATATATATATACATAATAGTCTTGAATTTGATGTTGATATAATATGTTTAATTTGAGTTAAAAAGTCGAGCGTTACATCAATAAAAATAGTATGAGAGTTTTCAGAAATTTATTTATTTAAAATCCATACGTTTCGGTTAGCATCTTAGCCTTCATTCAGCGGCAATCAATTTAACTATAAACATTAAAGCTAAATAAATAATATTATATAACGCCCGACTTTTTAACTCAAATTAAACGTATATATCAGAAATCTGAGTGTTGTATTGTTATATTTAACATTTAATATTCGTTCCACTCATATCACAAAATTCCATATTATATATATATATATATATATATATATATATGTAAAAATATATTAATAGAAGGATTATTAAAAGGGCAGATTAAAAAATAATCCTTAATGATGCGAATTCAAACTGAAAAGTTTCATCAGTTACAACAAGCACGTGATACGTGATATGCATGCAAACATTGTTTATACATTTTTACTTGATTTGGTCTCATCGCCTTATGTAAATGTAATTTGACTACAACTAAACTAAAGCCGTTAGTATTATATATTCATCAAGAAAATCTAACTTGGTTTAACGTGGTTCATAATTACTATGTAACCAGGATACGTAATCTCTAAGGAAATGGACGTTGGCGGATTCCAAATAAAGCTAGTCTATTAATAATAAAGCAAGTAATTTCAAATTTAGAGTACGCGTATAATTATTAATTAAAGCAAAATTTTCATAGTTAATAAAAGACACAAAATAGATCTTGAAAAATAAAATGAATTTCAAGTAAAATTGTATGCTCACTTATTTCAAACAATTTATTTCAAATATTTACTATGATCTTTTGTTTTAACCAAAAATCATAAATTTGTTTGAGGTGATAGATTGGCAATTCTATTTCACGCATTTGCAAATGACAAGCCACAATGACTAACAATTGTAAAGACAGTGAGGAATGAATTATTATCTTGATTTATTGTTTTTCTTTTATCAGAATAATATAATTTCGCTAGTCCAGATCATGGAGTGTTCATAGTAGTAGCGAGGGACAAAGGCGGCCCGGAAATGTGAAGCGGCAAGCGGTATGAGTGGGCCACACAGGGCCACAGTTAGATACGTTGAGGAGCGCGGCGTGCGGCGCGGTGCCGTTGCCTCCCAACGGCCCCTCGGGCGCCCCGCGCGGCATCTCGTGTCGTGCCGTCGTCCCCCGATCGAGAGTAGGACGCTTATCGATTTTCCTTCTGGCGAAGGGTAAGCCCGATATCCCGTGCGAGGGGCGCGTGCGCCGAGGGTGCGCGGACTCGGAGGCGACTTTATTCAGTGTACGCCGACGGCTCGGTACTCGGTGGCTCGGTTCAGTGCTGACGTGCTTATCGTCGCGTGCAGATGCATTTCGCACAACGGAAGTTCCGACGTGTCGTTCGCGAATGCTCACATCCGTCAAACGGACAGCGACACAACCATGGCGCCGAACTGTGATATTGTCCTGTCACAGCAGTACGTTTTCAAGTTACTGCTGTTGTGGGACATTTTCACAGCGTGGCCGTCCTATCGTCAATTATAATGGCAGTTCGCGAAAAGAACATTTTTCAGGATTATCCAGAGAGGGTGTGGCGCACACGTCGGCGTCCATTGTGTCCGCGCGGGGGTGAGGGGATAATTGAACAAGATACTCAAGAAATCGACCCGCGAGTGCTGTAAACTAACCATGCAATTTGGATTTTTTTACTTACGTGATGTTTTGTTATTGTACAAATTTTATACCAAAGGTTATTCGCCTTTAGATCGATATTGGCATCTCATTGTACGCTATGGTGTGTATGATGCATTATCGATTCAACAAGCCTTCTGTGAGTGCACAATCATCGCGCAGGCCTGTTATGTATAAAGTGTAAAATTTGACGGTTATTATTTGAATTTTCAAAGAGTAAAATAAACGCCGCTTGCATACGGTGAGGTTATACATTGAAATATCGATCGCAAGTCGAGAGACAAAGGAGATTCTAAGGGAACAACGCTCGACAAGATACCAATGTGAAAGATATTAAACACACTAATTCTACACTGAATCAACATATTAACCAGTGATTAGTATAATATATTAAATCGGATTACGAAAGCGTGAAAACTGTAAGTCAATATTACAAATTGTAAAACATCAACTACTCAAACATCATTCCTATCTATCACTCGACCGCACAAAATGCTCCAATCATCCGCTTGTGCACATTTGCCTCACGCTCGTCATTTCCTTTTGCTAACTTCATAGGTGCACATTTTTCAATTGAATGAAGTTTCCGAAATTGTATCGGTTTCGCCATCTGAAGAGATGTCATCCGCCGAACACGCCAGACAAATTTCACCTACATCAATCCAGCATTCTAAGCAATGCACGAACTCGCATCCAATAGTCGGACACTCTTTGAAGCCTCCGCCTGCACAAACATTTATGAGCTCAAATTAGAATTCATTAAAATTTTAATTTTTTAGTGTTCTTTTTTTGCTAAATATCAGTAATACATATTACATTCAAAATAATATCGATCGTTAACAGTAGAAATAAAAACTGTGAAAAATGGTTGGTATGTAGTAATCCTAGACAATATAATAATAGTAGTAATAATGTACTCAAGTAGTATTTCATTATATTCAGATCATATTTTTAAACTCAAGGAAATGCTCAGATCAATAGATATCATTTCACATGTTTATCATTCATTTTCATAGATTGTTTTATACTATAATTTATATGCGGTGTTATTATAAAGTTTTTTGCTTGCACATCTTCCAATAATATATTGTTATGATATGATGAACAAGATTATATTTGCATTACTATTTGAATCTCCGTAGAATAATTTTTAATGTATTTTTATATCATTTAATTTACCACTTTAATCAGTTTCATAAATATTTATATGTTATAACTGTATATGTATTTCATTATTTAAAAATAAATACGAAGTTTTAAAATTCAGTAGTTTGCCTACATTAAAAAAACATGATTAGTTAATATATAGTTAAATATTGAATTGTTATCAAATCTATGAAATAATAATTTTAATATATATGCAGGTTTAATATCAAAATGAACAGCTTCACAAAGGGAGACACTCATAAAATACTAATTTCATTAACTAGATCAAAACTGTTATGGCCAAAGGATAATTAGAGACGACTAAGTGATGAAAAAGACACCCATATAGTTATACGTTTATATTGTGATATAATAATTATTTGTTTTTATAATGACAATTGTGTATATTATATATATATATATATATATATATATATATATATCAAATATAAATAAGAACAAATGTCATAATAATAACAAATATTTATTTATTAAATAAATTATTTAATATTAAAAGCATTAGGTGATACAACACTGGGGATGTAGTAATTCGTATGTGGAACGCCCCAACTTTTGGATTTTGATTTAAAAATATTAGCTTGAAAAAGAAACCTCGAATTAATGTGTTACTTGCACACCGAAAATAATATTTAATTTGGAAAATGTTGTAATTATTTAGATAATATTCATGACATAACTTGTATTAGATATTGCAATGAATTTTAACTTTTTACTTGAATAGTAATATTAATTCAATATTATAACAAAAGATTAGTTTTATTCAAAAACTTCAAGTTACTATATACAACTGTTTATAATGCAAACGCTACTCATTTACAAGTCAATATTTTTAGTTACGGTATATTTAAAAGGATTCAAATTTTAGGGTAAATTTAAATTTCAAAATGCATTAATTAATTCTAGTTAATATTGAAAATAAATGATTACTTACGAAAAGGTTCTCGATCCTGGCATATTATACATTTGCGCCTGGCCTGGGGAAAGATTTTCAACCAGGAAAATATTTTTGGATATTTCATTCGCAGTGCCTAACATGGATAATGAATAAAAAATGTATATTGTTTCAATGACATCAATTTACAATAGTATTGAATATTTTATGCTAGTGAAATAATATATTTTAAACTTGCAAAAGTAAGTTTTCGTGTTCTTTAACAGTTTAGATGTACTTGCACTGCTGCGCACAGCAGTAAAGCAACTGATCTCAGCGTGAGAGCGAATTATTATATTCCGGGGAGGTCAAAGTTGAAATGGATGTTCAAATTGTGAGAAAATGTAAAATTAACTTCAAACATAAAATATGACGCTTAAGAAAATTATAACAAAGAACTGATCATTCTAGGTGGAAATTAATTATATAATTAACTTGCATTTAATATATGACTCTAATATTAGTAAAACAAATTAAGACGTATTGCTTTTTGTTTTAATAATAATGTTGATAGTCAAAATAATCGATTTGTCTTATACAGAATAGAGCGGGGCTTAAAACGTCCGCGGGAAAAAACGTCCACCACCGATATCTCAAAAACAAGTAAAGTTAAGAATTTTTCAGCAACAATATTTCAAAGTCGGCTTACGAGGTTACTATCGGGTGATAAGCGGCATTGTTTGAAAATCCATAACAAAACTATTTTTTTAGGTTGATATTTTTTGGTTGTAAGCACTGTTGTTTAGTTTACGCGACCTTAATATATTTTTTAAGCAAACTTTATTTGATTATAAAAGATATTGTTAATTTTACGTTCGATTCTTGTTATTTGTTGTGATATAACTGATTTGGTTTTCACAATATAATTGCTCAAAGCCAAGTTGGACCTTTGTGCCCCGCCCTACCCTATTACAACATGTGCCTAATATTTTTATTACTTTGATGTTGGGATAAAATTAAAAAAAAAAACTAACCAGAAGAAGGTTGATTTCCATGGCAAGTTTATGCTCCCTTGCTTGCCTTCGAACCTTGCGTTTCAGTTGACGTATCATGCCAACTCGTCTCTTCAATGTGGTATTATATAAATGTAGTATACGACGCTTTTCCCTCTTCGGATAAAAATATGCACAGATCGCCCTTAAATGGATTATTGTTTAATTCAAATTAATTACATGACAACATTTGTTATACCTTCGAAATCGTCTCGTATATCCCTCTATGATCAGAAGTGTAAGAACGACGAAGTATGTTCCATATATACGAAATACGTATCTGAAATTAAATGAATATTACCTGTACGTTATGTTTTAATAAACCTAAATTATTTCATCATATACCCTAAAGGCATTTCATCAGGAACAGGTAAGCATTCAAAATTACTCGTTGATGTTTTTACTCGTTTCTTTATATTGAAATTGTTTAAAACTGATCGTAACATGCTGGCTATCAACCCGACACCACCAACCTAGATATAAAAAAAAATATTATTATTTATTCCATCTCAATAATTATTGCTAATATACTTATCACCTACTTGAAGAAATATATCGTGATGACCTTCTTGCGTAAAGTCTATTCTGGCATGCCGATTAATGAAATCTAGAGTTTCAAAAAATAGCCTTAAAGAAATTGATTGGTTATTAGGTGAATAATACATACACATAACAAATTCATTTACATATTATTACCTATCAAGTAAAAGAAAAGTAGTAGCTGTAATCATCTCTAATAGAAGTTTAACAATTAGGCCAAATAAAATCCCACGCTCCGATTTCAGTTGAGCCAGTGACGTGGGATCCAGCAATTTTAATTTTTCAGCCTAATGTATATGATATATAAGTAAGCAATAAAACATATTGTATATGAGTCTATCACAGATGAAAATTTAATATTTGACCTTTTTCAAGGGCAATAGAGTTTTCCTCTGCATTTTATGACGTCTAGCATCAATTTTTTTAAAATAACGCGTCAGATACACATTATCGTAGTCGATATTACTCAAATAGTCGTCATGATACTTTTGGGCCGCAAATAATATTCTTAAAAATATAAATGAAAGAAATCGCTTGACGAAGACCATTACGCCATCGAAAAAGCTTTTTTTTTCTTTGAAATTATAAACTAAAGCCCGCGTAGCATCTGCAGCGGTAGTGTAGTCGATGACTTTATTCATACGTATCATTCGGTACTGAATCCTAGCCTGTTTGAAGGTTCCAGACATCTTCCGCCCGGTACGCTTCATGTAAGCGTAGCCTTCGCCAAGACCTGGATCAATCTGCGAATAAAATCAGAGGATTTCTAGTATACATTTATTATAAAATTATTGGCATTGCCAAACTTCCTATTATACAAAAAAAAAACAATATTTAAAAACATGCCAATAAGTCGTGATTGAACGGCTTATAAAATAAAAATATAGATCATTACCGTATGAGGTGACCATATTTTCATAGGTCAAAACCGGGATGACAACTTGTAGTTATACTAGTCCTTTGAGAAACTTTTTAGATCATTACCCCAAAATATATTTGCCCAAGCTGATATTGCCCTATAGCAAAGAGATATTATCCCCATACAGTAAATAACAATTAAAAATATATAGGGGGAAGTCCCCGAGTGACGGGCACCTAAGGTTATTTATAAATAAATCAAAAAATATTTTACGGAATGTTTATTAAATTATGACATGTGTTAGATAACAAAGTTAGGAATCAAACTAAATTAACAAAAACGCAATCTTTGCTAAAAATAATTAATACTATCAATAAAGCTTTGGTAACAAAAACTATGATTTTACAAAGTGGCACATAGTACCGGACATTTCAAAATAGCCAGTATTGAATACATAGGTAGCCATCTCCATACTCTGGAGTGTCTGCACATGTGTGTTTGACGAATATTCTTAGATATTGCAAAAAAAAATCACTATTTATCCACCCTTTTGGCTGGGCCACACTGATGCTCTCAGCTGGAGCATTCATCATAAGATTTACATTCTTTGACTAGGAAATACGAAAAATGGGGGTATGTAGTGACCGTTAGCACTCATACAAAACAAAATTAAATAATCAAAATAAATTACGTCAACTCTCACAAGAAATTTCAATATTTTTACTGTCCGGCGCTAAGGGACGACTAATTATAAGTGTCCGGTACTAAGGGACAAGCATGTTCGTTCATTTGGTGGTTTAAAATATTTAATAATATTCTACCATTTTACGGATAACAATCAAGTACTACTTTTATTTAAAAATAAAATATAAATGCATAAATACGCTAGAATTACATACATTGATATTTAGGTGACGCCGTGATTTTGCGCCTAAAACAGCAAAGGGTTGCTTTCGCCGTGGTCGTGTGCATCACAGGTGAGTCTTGGCGGGTGATCCTGCACCTGTGGGCCCCCCGCGCCCCTTTCACTTGTATTTTGATATAAAAGATTTATACTCGCTTAAAAAATACGTGTTAAATAGAGTGTCCGGTATTAGGTGCTGTCCGGCGTTACGGGACTTCCCCCTACTATTTGCCCCCAAAAATTTTATTTTTATCCTATTTGAGGTAATTTACCCTGGTTCGCCATCCGCTGTGCTAAACCATTTAACTATGATTTAAAATAACAAATATACTATATTTAAAGACACAATAAAATGAGTGTTTTTAAATGAATCATTTTTTTCAAAACAGATCTACTAATAAGTAATAACTACTAGTTTTGTCTATTTATCGTTTTTTTCTCTTTTAAGCCCTGTATGAACCCCTGTTTATTTCTTTTCATAATTTACTTGTCTTGGTGCAAGGCGGTCAAAAAGTTTGTTATCGTAATTTTTACTATCTTTCGTTAAATTGAAAATTAAAGTTCGAAATTATTAAGTGAAATACTATTTTAACACTTTGGAAGTCTGCATTCGGAAATTTTCTCATTCATAACGTATTGTTTCATATAAGCATACTCGTTACTCTATTTTCGGATATTTGATGGGTAGTTGTAATTTTATTATCAAGTAATTGCAAAAATTCAGTATAAACCTATACTTTTCAAAAACCCGGAACATATATTGCTCTTAGAAAAACCATAGACACAAGGTGGAAATCCGGGACTGCCCCGGCCAAACCGGGATGACCGTACTTATAAAATAAAAATATAGATTTATTTACTTATATTTAGACTAGCCAGAATGATTATGGAATGCAATATTATTAAGACTAATACTATATTGAGGCACGATTTCTAATTTTAGTTATCTTAAATATTAACGACTTTTTTTCATTAATTTGTTAAAATAATAGGATAAAACTGGGTTTAAAATTCCGCGAGTAAAGAGGTCCATCATCATTATCCTAAAACAGGTAAAGTATGAAACTGAAAAGGTATGTAACCAACAATCGACTTAAATTGGGAGACATAGAGCTATCCCGTGATAAATGGCTACATTGTCATTTTACAATAAAAGTCTTTTAGTTCATTGTTGGTTTTTTGGTATTAAGTAATTAATATGGTTTAATTCACAATATTTGAATACAAATTTTAATTATACACTATTCAATTTAATATTTAACAGTTTCTTTATATAACTCTAGAATAGCTTAAATGTAGTTGGGGTTAAAAAGACCAACTAAACCAAAGGTTTCAAAAGAGACAAATTAAATTAACAGTTATTTCAGCTCTGATGTTAAATTCTTCTGACAAAGTTTTATACGAAGGTTGTATGCAATTGTGATCTTTGTTAAAAATGTGCCCAAAAAATGTGTATTTCAAACAAAAGTTGTACTTGCCACATTTATAATAATTTTATTTTAATAAACAATATGTTTGATTATGATAAATTGACAGAAATACCTACAATTTTTAATTATGTTGTTCAGCTTAATAATAAACTTTATAGTATTGATTAAATACTGTATCGATTATTCCGTAAAACCTCTTTAAAATTAGAATTAAAAAGGTAGACTCTCTGGTTATCCCTTTTTACACTGCCTATGAGGTAAAAAAAAACTCTTGACAAATTTTTGAAAAGTAGCAAAAAAACTTGACTTCTACAATGATGAATTATCTGAGAATTTTACTGAATATCATTAAATAGTTATTTGTTTGATATGTGTTATGAATTGCAATATAATTGGTTTGGTTTTCATAGAATAATTACTGAAAGTAAAATTTGACCTTTGTTCTCCACCCTGCCCTATAATAAAGTACAAATATAACAGATCTGTTTATTATGAAGGTCAAATTTGGTTAAAGTGGGTAAAAGGTAAAACCCTTGAAAATTTTTTGAAAAGTAGCAAAAAAACTTGACTTCTATAATGATGAATTATCTGAGAATTTTACTGAATACAGTTAAATAGTTATTTGTTTGATATGTGTTTTGAATTGCAATATAGTTGGTTAATTTTTCACAGAATAATTGCTAAAAGTCAAATTGAACATTTGTGCCTTACTCTGGCCTATAACAAAGTACAAATATAACAGATCTGTTTATTATGAAGGTCAAATTTGGTTAAAGTGCTATGAGTGTTAAAGTTATCTGACTCTACCTTGATATAAAAGAACATAAGCAGGTAAATTAGTATAAAATATTACTTGTGTGGCGGCATCACAAGGCCCTCCAGAAGACCCGGAGCCTCCTAATGCCCGAGCTATGTTACAAACAAATGTCAATTTCATCGGCCAGCAAAGCAGCCAAGCAACGGCCCAAGATACCTTGTTACGACATGCGTCATAGGCTTTTCCAAACATTTTTCGGCATTTTTCAGCACCTATCAATATAAAACATTCTGCAGTTCCATGTTAAAAATGTCCTCTGAGAAAAGAATTAGAGAAACGAAAAGCTATCCGTACCACTTTCTACAAAAACGGGTGTAAGTATTTGAATTATGTCTTGGAATTACTTGTGAACGAATTACGGAACCCTTGGTTATATAAAAATATATACAAATTTTTATAAGTTTTAAATGCATAAAGTTGAGTGGTAATAATTTAGTATATAATATTCAATTACAACAATTTATGAGAAACTTTGAAATTTTAGTAAAAAGGTGGAGGTTTATTGTTAATAGTTTAAAACTTCTTATAATATTTTTGTAATAAAGTTTGGTAATAAATGTTAAACAATCATTATAAGTTACGGGTAAAGGCCAAGTCCACGTGAATACGAATATTTATTATGGTTGATTTGTTCTCCCAAAACAAACGCATGCACGCATATCAGATATAAAATCAAATAATTATGTCTTTATTCTATTAGAAGTTCTAAGGTTACTATATGATTTTTCCACCTAAAATTAACTAAGCATATTACTTCCAAAATGATGGTTTTTCTTGAAAATGATGGAGGAAAAATACGGACAAAATGGTATATATGAACAAAATGACACAGTGGCCTTATTTAAAAATTGGTTGTCAGATGTTGAGCGTCATTGTCACAGTCTTGCCGCAGTAATCATATCTAACGTGTTTCGCACCTTGAAAAGTTTATTTAGATGGTATTTTTCCCATGTTTTTGTGGGCTGATATTATTGATATTCGTAATTATTTCAATTAAAATCATTTAACTTAGGCCAGTATTAGTGATTTCGATCAATTTTTTTTCAATAATCAGATATTTTTTTGAATTTTGATTGATTATAAATTTTTGTTTAATATCGGGCAAAATGATAGAAAGCAAATTACAAAATGACATAGTACTATTTTGCAAGAATTACTGGACCAAAAAAATTAAACGTGTCAAAGGCGATTGGCTTTTAACTTCTACTCCAAGTATGCACTTGTACTCTTCGAATTCGTGCTTCATGTGATAATGTCCCAAAGAGGATAAAACGATTTATGTATTTATTAAATATCATTGAAAGCCAAAACACTATGTCATTTTGTTCGTACTTTTTCTACCTTTTGTCAATTGTGCTTCACATCGCAGTTCCAGCTTTCTCAAATATTTCATCTCAAACTCACGAGCTTCGTCTCTAGGATCCAAATTTCTGCAATGAAAAACAACATGACATATAGTACGCAGTTTAAAAATTAAAACTAAATGCTTCATATAAATATATATATATATATATGATTCTACTTGGTTTTCTCCAATATATCAATTGATCTTTTCGTATCTCCTTGGGCCACATCAAGATAATCATTCACTTCTATTAATGTTTGTACTTCTCCGGTGCCTTCTACTTCAGCTATTATAGGTGCGGAAACTTCTCGAAATGATCTAGCAATAGATACATATCCATTTTATGAATTAGCCAGAATAATAGTTTAATTAGAATACTTATTGATGCAATATAAAATTCAATTTAATTTTTTTTTCTACTTAATAGTTATAAAATTTTTAGCCTTATTGTTAACTTTATTTGAAAAAATTTAATTATGTATGTTCATTTGTTTTGATCAAAATATATATATAAATTTAAAATATAGTTTGTTATACAACAAACGACTTAAAATCAAAAAGTTATTGCATGGATCATAAGAAAATAGTATCGTTTAATACCTCAATGCATTTTTAACTTCTGTCATATCTGCTTTGGCACTCATAAAAGCTTCATGGAAAGGTTTTGTCATTAAGTCAAATCTCGTTTTTGTTAAATTATATGTGAGAGTAGTTGAGCACGTAAAAACCCTAATAACTTCTTTAGCATTTGTTGCGAGATTTTGAATTGGACCTAGAGCAATGTAAGTCAGAATTATTTTATTAAATATTTGTTACAAATAAGTACAATAAAAAATTCATCACATAAACAACTATTGTACAATTTACAAATTATAATTAATATTTCTAAAATGTAACAATAAATCAATAAATTTTATTTGAAAAACAATTTATTATTTATAATTTACCAGATATCACGTAGGCTAGAACCAATGTTTTAAGAACTGTACGTCCTGAGTTCCCACAAAAACTTAAAAATGACAATAGGCAAATACACCTTATTTGAATGGAATGTGCGTTTCCAAATGCTGGAAAATTAATCAATGTATTATAAACTAAGTATAATTATAGAATTTATTAATTTAATAATAATAAATAATAAGAAGAAAGGGAACGGGAATGATATGTAATGCTTGCACACAGGAATAATGATAATATATTTCGTGTGTAGAATGCAGAAAAAAGTGCAGAATAACTTAATTTCATCCTACGTTTAACATTTTTTTAAATTATAAATTATCTAAAATTTCTTACCAAGGACAAAACACAGGATTATGCCTAATATCAAACATCCTAGTCGAGAGAAGCCTAAATTCGCTAATACACATATCCACAACAGTATTCCCAGAAAAAAACCATAAAAAAAACAGCAGATCGTTTTATAATGCCGCTCTTCGTTATAATCCGAATATAATAAAAATGCTATTGGCCTGTAATATTTATTAAAAGTATAACTCAATTTTTGTTTTATGAAATGTTTGAATTTAAAAAAATATTTTGGAGACATTTTAAATAGAATATTTATGATTTTGTTTTTGACTATTGTGACAAATAAAGCATAGGTAATGTGATGTACATATTTAGCATATGACACACAAACTTATATTATATTATGTATATTATATCCTGAAAGGTTTTTTGAAGCTGTATATATATATATATATATATATATATATATATATATATATTCTAATGATCAGGCATAATATTTAATAATATGAATAACTAAATTAAAAATTCTTTGAATATTCAGTATAGACAAATAGTTATTTTCTATTTCTTTTCATTCATAAAGTTTAACATTAATTATAACAACGTGTTTAAATGATTATGTCAAATATTAACTATTATGATACACAATCCTTGTAAAAATAGTGACTAATATAATATTTATATAATAGTAAAATTTATCCATATTTGTAAAAATATTAGCTCATTTGTGTAAAAATACAATAACATTTAATATATTTATTATATGTATTTTTAAGAAAAATTAGATATTGTCTTGTGAGCATTAAAGATATATTATCTGCATAAATTATGTTGGTATTTTAACATCAGGCACTATACACAATTATATTAAATTTATAATAATCTATAAATAACACTTAAGTACTATTGAATTATAACAAAAGTTATGCTATAAAAATACTATCTTAAATTGAGCAAACTGGTTTATATGCATGTTATGAAAATATTTTTTTTACAATATCATATATTCATCTTCATCATATATTTATCTTCATTCAGTTATATATATATATATGACTATAAATATATACAAAAATAGATAAAATTTTCACGTCTTTGTATGCAACGATAACGACATCATCAATCTCTATGAGCTACACTTTGGCACGAAGAGTTCAGCCGCGATGGCGAATTAACATTACGCTATTACGCACTAGGTATCGGGGTAGAAGACATTCATTATAAAACATACAATTTAGCACTATTTGCTACACAATATTTACAATAACTTATACTAATAATTTAGCAATAAACAAATACCAACAAAATGTCTCTTATGCGGATATCACAGTCACGATCTCCATTCGTTTAAATTGTTTTATTATATATGCTGATATTATATGTATATATATATATATATATATATATATATATATATATTTACATATATTTATATTCCTATGTATATATGTGTTACATATGGCATGTATTTCAGTGAGATTTGTTTTAATTTTATACTAGTTGGTTGGTTGTAGCTTTTGATTCTTCCCAATTCTTGACCATTTTCAAAGGATAACATAAAACTGCAGACACAGTGAAGAGGGCTCCGGATAGATAAAATGACGCATCAAAGCTCCCAGTGGCGTCCATAAAAATACCTATAAATGAAAATGAAATGCAATACAAGTCATATCGATGAATGTAATCTTATTTTAATAACATAGTAAAGCAATTACCGGCAATTGGTGGTCCGAGACTAGAAGCGACGCCCTGGAATAACATGAGAATTCCAAAGGCGTTATTCAATTTCTCCAAACCCATTAAGTCTACGACAAGAATTGATCTAAGCGACGCAAAGCAAGCTACAAAAATAACATACCATAATGTAAGAAATGTCTAGAATATATCAAAATTGTTTTATTCAAATGCAATTGTTTCTTACCAATCGATATGCCGAAAATGCAGCAATATGCGTACTGGTATGCAGCAGTATAGTACAGTCCACTCAATAAAGTAGCGACACCTCCCATCGTCAGTGTTATGTTATTAATCCATAAAACATTTACGCTAGTATTTGAAGCCAAAACCCCGCATATCACCCTAGTCAATGTGTTAGATATACCAATAGTTGATAACAACCAAGCTGTTTCATCATCGGTCATTCCGCTGGTTTTGTTTCTCTGAGCAATATATAGGAATGGTATTAAGTAACCCATCATAGTAAAGAAACCACTGAAGGCGAGCAAAAGGAATGACGGCGAACGCATCAAGTTCATATCTAACATGGTAGCGAGAGTTCGACGGAACGCTTCTGGGCAAAGCTTGCAAGAAGACTGTTCTTCGACATCCGCCCGAGTAGGTAATCTAGTTACGGACATGTGGTATCCAATAGAAGTCGTACTCTGATACTGTGGAAGCCTAGCTAACGATCCACTATATAAAACATCATCTCTGTACATGGGACGACTCGTTTCGGTACCAGTTATAGTTCCACGTCTACTTCGGTGTCCGTCTTTGGTCGAATCACTTGCACGGCGCCCGCTAAGTGTACGTCGCCTAGAACCAGCGCCAGAAGCTTGTCCATTAATTAGAGGAGATCCAACTTCTTCATCTTCACCAACGGGACGAAGTTCCTTCGGGTCGATTCCTATGGACTTGGTAGTAGAAGCTAACGAACCTCGCCTTTCAAGATTTGCTTGGCTGCCCAATACTGCGTCTGCTGCTGTTGGATACTGCATATTATTATTGGCTCCGATCCAGGTACTTCGGGGTGCTGAAAACGCTTGGGATTGATCTGCCGCTACTCTATTTACTGATCCTAACTTCGATGCATTTGCTCTCTCAGGTTTGGGCGTTTGACACATAAGTACTGGCTTTAATGGACGATACGACATGGCACAGAGTATACAACATAGTACAAGGCCTAAAAATAATATATAATAATTATTATCAAACAAAATATTTAAATAGTATATATACAAGTTATCACTTACATGCTTGTATTAACATAGTTGTACGCCAACCAAAATTACTTAAACAAAGTGTGATGAGAGGAGAGAAAAGAAACATTCCGACTCCAGAACCGCAAAGAGAAATTCCAGTTGCTAACGCACGCCATCGCTCAAAGTAATATCCCACTGTTATAACCGACGGCATATACAGAAAACAAAATCCTAGGCCTATAAAATCAAATAAAATTAAAAATAGTTTCAATCAATAATATTGAGAGTGGGCGTTATTCCAATCGTAATAATATTTATATAGAATTGAAAAAGATTACTTCAGTTATCGTAAGACTAATCAATAAAATACTAGCCTCCAACGACTCCATATGAAACGAAAAGGAATTCTACACTCGTTGCAAAGTAGGATACCATAAGACCAGAAGCAGCTAGTAAGGCACCGACTAATGATACTCCACGGAACCCATATCGATTCGCAAGACCACTAGCAAAAGGACCAGCCATCAGATAGAATCCGGAGAGCAGCGAACTGATAAGGGCTACTTTAGCTTTACTTGCACCAAATGAAATTTGGATCTCTTCAATTATTGGTCCGATACAGAACACAATACCGTCCACTATCATGTTGCTCATGAATGATGCGGCTACTATGACCCAGCCCCATCCTCCATCAGGAGGAACTATTACTGTGGCAGTCGCGACTGGATCAGGTGTGTTTAAAACTGGTCGCATGCTTTCTTCGCCGGATTCCATTTTGATCTGTAACAAAAAAATAGAAAAATTATAATAAATAAATTTTATTCGAAAATATATATTATGGTAATAATAAGACATGGTCTTTTTAAGATAATATAACTAATCAAATGACCATTTTGTATTTTATGCTATAATTGTAAGCCCCAATATTGCTTAGCTGAACATTTAAAATCATGAAAAGTAGATGAGGATCATCATTGTCTAAAGCATCAATATAAATTTATGATATTTATTTGATGATAACATCCGAGTTTGACAAAGTTAATATACGATGAAACCCGACATACAAACGATAGCATTGAGTAGTAGATGATTCTATCGATTCGGTTTACCAATACAATTGTCACAATTAATGACCTAATAGAGTACGAGCAGATCAACAGGTTGGGACTCAATGTGGTGCTTCAAATTAATTTATATACATTTTGTATGTTTAATTGTTGTGTCTATTATAGTAGATAGTTTTATATTAATTCTTATTAACTATAGATATTATTTTATACATAAGAAAAACATAAAATTTTCTCAAATATAAAGTTGGATTAAATTTTAATGATCGATTGGCAAAAGGTTCGACTTCCAATAATATGTTGATTGATTTGAATTCTATTTGGATGTCAAAGCAGGAGCTATAATAAACTTCATAAAACTAATAAACTAGCGATTTTCTCTCAAAAATATTGGTACTTTTAATGAAAGCCGATATTATAGTTTTTATTGCTTATTTATTGGTAAGAGGTTAGAATTCATGCTCATAGTTGATGTTATTGGCCTGAAACTTTTGCCGAATCAATGTAGATAACTAGTGATCCTTGTAACGAAGGCATTTCTAAGGATGCTGTGGTTGATTTCGCGAAGAACTACGGCATATCAATTGTTTGCTGAAAGCATTAGACAACGAGCTAGGTGATCTTTATTGGCATTTCTGTCATCCCAGTGAATAAGTGGTTAAGTCGAATTTTGGCAAAAATGTCTCTGAGAATGTTCTCTGAAAGTATATATTAAATTGAAAAACTATTTAATAGAAACAAAAGATAATGAAGTGCTTTATATAAAACTGAAACCACAAATTTCAAGTATGCGATATTACACAAATAATAGAACTTTAAAATCAAGCATTGCAAAATAATGAAAATTGACTTAACCACTTATTCACCGGGATGACAAAATATCGTTGATAGTAACGAAAAAAATATTATCAGCATATTTTATTTATTTGAATCATTTTATCGAAATGAGTAAAAAAAATCGTTATGCTTTTAATATTGTAATATGTTTTAAAATTTGACATACGTGAACTAAATTATTAAACGAATGATAATCAAATAAGTAATAGCAAGAGACAACTTTATAAAACATTGAATTTTATGATAATCGATATTAACTTTTGATTAGAGCTATGGGATTTCAATTAGAGGTCCCAAGTTTGACACCCGCTACGGGCAGCCTGATGTCAAGCAGTAGTGACATTAGTTTTCTCTTGGAAGTATAGTGAACAATATATTTCCAAGTGAAAGTAACCCTTGACCATTAATGCTGCATCAATAAATAATTTATTACTATCACAAAAATTGTAATAATAAAAATAGAGATAGGACAACTGTTTGGGCAGTCATCTATAAAACCAACGTAGTAGGTTGGGTCATATAAAGGTTACTGTTCAAATAATATAAATAAAAATAATATAAAAATAAAAAATTCTTTTTCCTAAAATAGATAATGAAATTTCAACATTATATTACAGTAACAATACTAGCAAATGTTATAAACAAAAAGTTGTAACAATATATAACACTTCTAGGAGGATTTACTAAAATTGCTTTGCTCTTCTACTATTTACAGAAGTAATATAAATACACACGCTGTATATAAATAAATATGAGTATGTAATAAAACCAAGTGCAATATCACGCAGTATAAAAAAGGTCAATACTATTCTCAAGATATATTAATCGTGTTTTTGAAAACAATTAGTCATATAATTAAATATATATTTATAATCATTTACCTGTCGCCAAATGTTCAGTTCCGTTTAAAATACCATAAAATGTTATTAATAAGTGTGAAGTTATTTATGCATTATTGATGAAGTTATAAAATTGTTTTATTAATAAAAATGCTAAAATTATTATTTGATAGATTGCTTTATTATAAAACTGGCTTTTCTTCACGTTCGAATAGAATCCATTGTTTCTGAAACTGTACTGTCTTCGGCAAATAAATCAAAATCACTATTTGACAATTTATTGTTAAATCATATTGCAAAATTCAATGAATAATTAAAATCCATTATGAATACAACCCATTGAAATTTATATTTAAGGAAGCAATGTTATGAAATATAAAACAAACGAAATAATAAATTATGTTAACTTGATCTTCATATTTTTTTAAATGTTTATCAAAAAATAATTAATCAAACAGTCAAGAATATTTTTTACAATAAGATACGCTACCTATTTCCAGGAAAACTGATATTTCTATTAAGTTAGTAATTTGTGTTAAATTATTTTTAAATTATTTAAATGCTTTTAACAGTTTTTTTAAGATGTTATGAATAAAAATATATTTCAAACGCACATTCATACACAAAAATACTTTTGTAAGCAATAATATGAATGAAAACAAACAAAATAATAAACAAGTTAATTACGTTAATGTGTTCTTCATATTTTTCAGTATGTTTATCAAATATATTAATTATTTACTGATTATTAACAAGTCAAAATAATATTTTTTACAATACGATGTGCTAAGCGTTTCCAGAAAAATAACATTATTTATTGTTTTTAGAAAAATCAAAATTAATTGTATTTCTTATATTTTTTGAATAATCAACATTTAATTAAAATATTAATTTTTATTAAATTATTTTTTTATCTAAATTTTGATGTAATCAATACAAATATATTTAAAAATCATAGTTATACATAAAAATACGTTTATCCATTTAGCCAATAATTTTTTATGAAATTTTTATTACTGAAGACTAATGTTTAAAGAGCAGCAATAATAAATACGCCAAACTTTCCAAACTAAAAAATCAGGATGAATCTTATTTCTTATATTTTTTGAATAATCGTCATATTAAAATATTAATTTTCATTAAATTCACTATTTTTAAGGCAATGCAATTATTAGATGTCAATGCATGACAGTTGTAATTTTTACTTAAATTATTATATAAAAAAATTCTGATGTGATGAATAAAAATTTATTTTAAAAGCATATTTACACACAAAAATGCGTTTGTCCATTTAGCCAATTATTTTTTATGAAATTTTTATTACTGAATTCAGTCTGCATTAGTGCTGCTCCTTAAACATTAATATTGGAATATTAATGTTTAAGATGCAGCATTTAAAGACGTCAAATTTGCTAAACCTGCCAAACTAAAAAATCAGAAATAATCGTATTTGTCATATTTTATTTAATAATTATCATTTAATTAAAATATTAATTTTCATTTAATTTTTTTTATCTAAATTCTGATGTAATGAATAAAAATTTATTTCAAAAGCATATTTAAACACAAAAATACGTTGGTCCATTTAGCCAATTATTTTTTATGAATTTTTATTATTGAGGATTGAAATGTTTAAGGAGCAGCATTAACGAAGACGCCAAACCTTGAAAATGTTTGTTGCAACGTGTTCAGGATTGTATATGCATTTTCCGAGAGCATTCGCATTATGGTATTTAGCATCGGCAAACAAACTGTACGACGTTACTTCATTATTTGCATAAATCATGACATATGTTCAATCTTCAATTAGTATAAGTTAAAACGAGACATGCAAATTGATAAACTATATTAAAACATTTTTAATATAAATGTTTTAGATTTTTCTTTTCCATTACGTCCTTTACGCGACTTTGAACCTCTTCCTAAATTGTATCAAATATTTTTAGAAAATTAATTTTGAAATTGTAAATTCTGTATACAAATTTTAAATATTGTAACAAAATGTTATTGTATTTGCAATACTTTTACATAAAGCAGAGCGGGGCTTAAAGGTCCGCGGATAAACCGATATCTAAAAATCCAGTGAAGTTCAAAATTTTGTAACAATATTTGAAAGTAGAGGGAAAAAGGTATAACCAGCCATCACCTTGATTCCTACAAAGTCGCTGTCGGGAGATACATGTTTGAAATTCCTTAGAAAAAGTATTTTCCTTCGTTAGATTTTTTGGTTGTGTACACTGTTGTTTAGTTTATGAGACCTTAAGATAATTGATTTTTTTCCTGGCAAAGATGTAAAAAATAAAAAATAGCAAATAACAAAGTAAATTAAGTTAAATAAAGCAATTTTACAAGACATAAATTAAATAAATAGTTATTCTAACTCTGCTGATGAATATTTCAGGGTTATTTACAGTGTTCCATTCAATTTATATTTTGCATTGATTGAATATTGTAGCTATTATTTTGTAAAATTCTTTAAAATTAAAATGAGTCATTGGACTTTTTTGACCCTTAGATGATCCAATTTACTCCGTCCCTAAAAACAACATACAGATTATTCTAGTAGTTTTTTCTTGATTGTCTTCTAATCATTTACCCTGATGTCTTAAAAAGGTCCGCGTCGAGAAATCAGCAAATTTATGAACCCGCATGCTAAATAACAATAGCGTCACTACAAATAAGACTAAAAAATGATACTAAATTATTGTTTATTTATAAAATATTGCACGTGTTTGTTTTACGTCAAGTCAGTACAAAGTGTAAATCGGTGCCGGACAGGAGTTTTAATTGCGTTTTGCTGACAAATCGCTGCACTCACTTTTGTTCAGCAACAAACTCGCGAATCTTTCATTAGTAGGGTCCCTGGTGTAACTTTAGATCCGAAGAAAAATGGATTTTTTTCGGAAAACATACACATACACACACACATGTAAATACATCGAAAAATTTTCCATGCTATTTCCATACAAAGCTTTGATTGAATTGCGCACTATCCAAAAGTTAATATTAAGAGCTAAAACTTTTAGAGAATTTTTTT